TCCTGTTCTTGTTCACGTTGCTGACTAGTATTCCACCACATGAACATACCACGGTGTATTTATCCCTTCACTCATTGCTGGATATTTGGATTGTTATGAATAAAGGAGTTACAAACATGCTGGCATAAGTCTTTTTGAGGATATACGTTTTTATTTCCCTTGAGTAAATACCTAGAAGTGCACTTGTTGGGTCTTAAGGTAGGTGTTTAATTTCATTAAAAATTGCCTAACAGTTTTTCAAAATAGTTGTGCCATCTTATGGTCCCACGAGCAATGTATGAGAGATCAAGTTGCTTCACATGCTGGCCAGTTAGTCTTATCAGTCTTTAATTTTAGTTATTCTAGTGGATATGAATTGGTATCTCATTGTAGTTTTAATTATATTTCCCGGGTGGCTATTGATATAATTTTTTCATGTGTTTATTGATTATTCAAATATGTCTTTCACAAAGTGTCTGTTTTGTGCATTTTTTTCTTGAGCTATTTGTCTTTTCCTTATTGAATTATAGGAGTTCATATATTTTGGAAACAAATCCTTTGTTTCAGATATCCGTGTTTGGACTATCTTCTGTGATTTGCCTTTTCATTTTTTTAATGTTGTCTTTTGAAAAGCAGTTGTTGTTTTTTATTTTGATAAAGATCAGTTTTTCGGTTTTTTTTTTTTAATGATTAGAATTTTTTTGCACCCTGACTGATTTTGTCTACCCCAAGGTCACAAAGATATTCTCTGATGTTTTCTTCCAGAAGTTTTATAGTTATGGTTTTTACTTTTAGGTCTATGATTTGTGTCAAATTAATTTTTGTATATGGTGTAATTTAGGAATGTGAGCTCATTTTTTTTTTCACACAAATAGATGGTTCAAGCTCCAGCAGGGTTCATTTCCCCATTGAATTACATGGGGGAGATCCTTTGGCACAATCTGTCCTTTGTTCCAATTNGCTTGGAGTCCATGGTCCATTATTGTCATAACTCTGTCTATTGTCTCCCTCTGTTGTGTCCTCCCAGCAAAGCCCTGACCCAGGCGGCCCTCCCTCAACTCACATCCAAGCTGCTGAGCATGGTAAGAGAAAAATCAGACATAGAGAGAATGGAGTTCACTGCATATCTGTGTCCACACATCTCTAACAGGCGCTGACCACCCCCAGCCATCCTCACTAGCCCAGCGTGTTTGCTTTCCATCTCTCTTCCCTCTAAAAGACCATCCCATTCCTTCTCCTCTCCCTCCAAAACACACCCCGCCTCTCCCAGCCCTGGCTGTCTCATTCTTCATTGAGAAAATGGCAGCAACAAAGCAGGAGCTTCCCAGCACCAGCCCACCTCCACCTGGACCCACACTCCCCACCTGCCCTTTGTTACTGTGGTAAAACTGTCCTTACTCCAAGAGAAAGACCAACCTTCCACCTGTGCTGTGCACCCTAGGCCCTCTTACCTTCTCAAGGTCCTTGCTTCTGAATTTACATTTTCCTGTATCTGCAGTTTTGCTATTGCTTTCTAGTGGACCATTGAATCATACATGCTTGTTTTCATATTTCCTATCCTTAAAAAGAAAAGGTCTCACTTCCTTGACCCCACATGCCCCTGTAGCTACCCCATTACAGCAAGACAACTCATTTGCAGTCCACTTCACAGTCTCTCCCTAACCTACTCTAACTGGATTTCTGTCCCCACCCCGACACTCAGTTTGTTCTTGTTAAGGACACCACCAGTAATCCCCATGTGGCCAAATTCAATGATTTCTCCTCTGTTTTTATCTTGCTTGATCTCTTAGCATTCCCTAGAGTTGACCACTTCCTCCTTCTGTTTTCTTCACGGTACCTCCCTCCTGAATGTCTACGAATCTCACTGAATGTAAATTCTCTGCCTCTCTGCTGGCCCCTTCTCCTTTGTTTGACCTCCAAATGTTGAAATGCCCTGCAGCCCTATCTTTGTCCCTTTTCTTTCCTTTAGCTATGCTTCATCCCTAAGTGACCTCATCCTGTGGCTTTAAGTACATCTGTATGCTGAAGACCCCCAAGTGTATATCCCATGCTCTCACTCTCCCTGGAACTCTAGACTCATATATCCAAGTCTTACTCAACATGTCTACCTGGATGTCCAATGGGTGTCTCAAACCTAAATGTGCAAGTGAGAACTCTTGACTCCTTTCTCCCTCCCACCATTCACCCAGTTACTCAAGGCAAGAAAAAGTTAGCTCTTGCTCCTGTCTTTTTCCCATTCCCACATGTGGTCCAACAGCAGGTCTTCTTGCTTCTATTTCCAAGCATCGCTGAAGCAGTCACCTCTCTCCACGTCCACTGCCATCACCCTGGTCCAGGCCACAGCACCTCTCCCAGGAGCACTAAAATAGCTTCTTAATGTGTCTCTGCCTACACTCTTTATGCCTACAATCCATTCCAATCCATTCTCCAAAAGGCCTTCATCATCCTTAGAAACTTATTTTCCGAGTTTACAAACCCTACATCATCTGGCCCCACTCAACACACAGCCTGGGGCTAAACCTCATCATGCTGAATGATCAGGGACACCTGTGGGCATGAGTGTGTTCAAGATGGGTTCCAGGGGGAAGGGCCTGGGGAATGTTGCAACGCATGGGAAAGGAATAAAGAGAGGAAGGGAAAGGAACACATTTCTATAATCAGACACTGGCTTGAGGACGGTCCCACTGCCAAGGGCAACCCAATTGCTAAGACAGCCCCATTAGCAGCAGAGTCTGTGGACAGGGGAGGACCACATTTCTCCAAAGGCAGAGACCAGGTCTGCTGATGCCACTGGGTGGGTGATGGCGAGAGGGAAGCCTGGGGGTTGTGGAGAAGGAAGAGAAGAAGGAGGAATAGCTGCCATTTTGTAAAACCTGGGGTCAAGCAGAGGGCATGGTGACTAAGAATTTAGCCACAGGTTGGACTCATAGGAATTTGAGCTGGGACAAATGTGCCCTTGGCTGACATGGCAGGGATGGGGAATCTCAGAACCCCATGGTCACAGTCCTGCTAACAGGGCCACAGCTGAGCTCCAGCTCCCCGTGGCCAGGTGCCCTGTCCTCTTCCTCTTCTGTCAGTCTATGCCACCCAAACAAGGAAGTGCAAGCCCCTCACCCCCTCCATCCATGGGAAACACGCGGAAGTGTGTCTTACTGTTGTCCAAGTGGTTGGCCTTAATGATCTTCTCTGAGTAGTCAGAAATACTGGAGCATTCAATCTACAAAGGGCACAGAACAAAGGAGCAAGGTGTCAAAAAATGTCCAACACCAACTTAACGGATGGAGAAGCTGAGGCCTAGAGGGGGGAAGTAACTGCTAGTTCGTGGCAGATTAAAACCTACAACGCAGCCCTCCTGACTTGCAGGCCAGCAGCTCGTCCACTAAATCAGGCTGTGTTTCCTGTGAGGCTGAGCCCCATCCTGTGCTTTGCGATGGAGGGCCCAGTGCCTGAGGTGGGGGATTTGGGAGGAGCTGGCAGGCCTCACTCTTCTGACCAGGGGAGCACGGGATGAGGAGGCACAGCCGCTGTCTTCCCAGGAGAGGATGTAGGACAGGCCAGAGGTGCTGTGAGCCTCCCTCGACATTATCTTCCCACCCCTCCAGCCCTCACTGGTTAAACTAGGAACATTCCAGGATAGGGACCACCTGGAAAAAGCCAAGTCAGGGCCCCCGGATCAGTCTTAAGATCCCTCCCCCCGTACACGTATACTCAAATTAACTCGTATCTTCTGCAGTCCCCACCTTTCAAAGAATTCATTCTTTTCATTTAATTAATTAATTAATTAATTAATTTTAATAATCATTTTATTTTTCAATTACCGTTGATATACAATATTATATTAGTTTCAGGTGTACAACATAATGACTAGAAATTTACATAGCTTAAGAAGTGATCACCCCTATAAATCTAGTATCTATGTGATACCATTTATAGTTATTACAATATTATTGACTACATTCCTTACACTGTACTCTACATCCCCAAGACTATTTTGTAACAACCAATTTGTACATCTTAATCCCTTCTCCTTTTTCACCCACCAATCAACACCCTTCTCAGCTGGCAACCATCAAAATGTTCTCAGCATCCCTGAGTTTGTTTCTGTTCTGCTGGTTTGTTTGTTCCATTCTCTAGATTCCACATATAAGTGAAATCGCATAGTACTTGTCCTTCTCTGTCTGACCCACTCCTCCCACCACAATACCCTCCTGGTCCATCCATGTTGCTGTAGATGGCAAGACTTCATTCTTTTTTATGGCTGAGTAATATTCCATTATACATATGTACCACCTCTTCTTTATTCATTCATTCCACCCAGGTTGTCTCCATATCTTGGCTATTGTAAATAGTGCTGCAGTGAACATATGGATATCCCTTCGAAGTAGTGTTTTGGGTTTCTTTGGATAAATACACAGAAGTGGGATTACTGGATCTTTCTTTGTCTCTTGTTATAGCCTTTGTTTTAAAGTCTAGTTTGTCTTGTATAAGTATTGCTACTCAAGCTTTGTTTTCTTTTTTTTCATTTCCATTTTCATGAAATACATTTTTCCATCCCTTTACTTTCTACCTCTGTGTGTCTTTCAATCTGAAGTGAGTCTTATAGGTAGCATATGTAAGGGTCTTATTTTCTTATCCATTCAGCCACCCTATCTTTTGATTGGAGCATTTGATCCATTTACATTTAAAGTAGTTGTTGATAGACTTGTACTTATTACCATTTTATTATTCATATTTTTTATCTTTTTTTTTTT